GCTATCTAATCACCCGTCACGTATAGACCTGTGGCGAGTGGTTAGATAGTCGGTGGGCGTGCCCCGCCAACCGCGCTAAGAGTGAGCCGTGCTATATCGCCGGTCAAAAAGGGTTTCGTGCGCAATTAGACCGCAACATCCGCACCCTACAGGAAGGTTCGGCCGTTCCTGCAGCTATGCAATTTTCCCATTCTTGGGACCTATCCTGCTTGCTCTAAAAGTCCTCTATTAAGGAGGATTCATTATGGTGGAACTGTGCAGATTTGTAGGACAAAAGAAGACAATTTTCGGGGATCTGCGGATTGTTTTCAATAATATCACCAAAATGAAATTATTAAAATGTGTAGGATTTGCAATTAGCGGCTGTATGTACCCCCACCTTCCAGTGCTTGATGGTAGTTTTGGAGGAATTTTAGTGGAGCAGGAGTGTGTTCTCGGTGACAGACAAGTGTTGTAGAAAAGGCCATGTTGGAAGTGGTGATGTGTTCTTGCCAAGAGGGCTGTCTGTTCTCCAAATGTGAGGGCTCACTGCTGGGTGACATCTGCCTAGGTCTGTAGACATTATTGAACCAGCTTATGTACAACTTTGCGAAATTAAAAGCAGATCTCATTTTGGGATGCGCCATGCATTCCACTTCCATGCAGATTTGTAATGGCATCTGAGTGCTATCTGGCCTATACAATGTCTTATGGGAGTAGCCGATGCCAATTAAAGCTTAAATCCATTCGTGATCGGTCATTTGGTGCCAAACTTGTCTAGAAGAGTAGAAGCCGGACATGCATGCACGGTGTCAGATCCAGGATTAGAACTCAGGATGGTGCACGTGGAAAGCAGCGCCACTTGTCTCTACACCATTTCGGCTCATGCAACGCAATGAATATTTTGACTTTTTTGTTTGTAACTGTTTTTGGCCGCAGTTCGCCTTGCGAATGTTTCACAAGAATGCTGGGTTGTGAACAAAACTTTCGCCCCAGACGGGACTAGAACCCGCACCTCTCGCTTTCCGGGCAAGTGCGCTACCAGTTACGCTACCGGGGCACCATTTCCAACTCAGCTCTTTCATGGTATACTTACCATAGCTTGTCAATGAAAGCTGAGTTGGGATGAAATGGTGCCCCGGTAGCGTAACTGGTAGCGCACTTGCCCGGAAAGCGAGAGGTGCGGGTTCGAGTCCCGTCTGGGCGAAAGTTTTGTTCACAACCCAGCATTCTTGTGAAGCAATATATTACTAAATATATAACTATGAAATCGTGTAAAAAGCTTTATTAGCAGTATTATCCTAATTATTAGTCAATATGTATAGTAAATAGAGAATAAACAATGCTGCCAATTTTTTCTTCATCTTATAAAGTGTTTTATTTTATGGCTGTTTTTACGCTTTAACAAAATTTAGCTTTCAGCTAAGTAATTTGATTGGTAGAAGTGTTTACCGGGGGATCCCCTGGCCGGTTGAGCGTTTTTTGTGTTATTCGAAGTGTTCTTCGTTTCGACGCTGTGGTGAAATCGTCGTCAGTCGGAATTTCCTACTGTCAGCATATTGTTGAAGGACTGCTCTGACTTCGGAATTCCGTGGGTGTGCCTGTGAGGAAAAGCTGCGCTTCTTACTGTCTGACTCACTCATCCTTCATTTCACCCAACATGTCTGACTGCCCCATATCGCCGTCAGCGGCTTACGTGAAGCATCGCAGCCAAGCGTGTTCCCTCGCTCCGTCGCCAGTGCTTCGAAGGTAATCAACTACTCTTCTTGTACGCCTTCAGCATATCCCAAACTGTTCAGAATCATTACCCTTTTGTGCCCGCTTTATCCCACTTCCTTTTCCGAATCCATCCATAGACCCATTGCCCCAGACACTGCACAATGCGCTCTGCTCCTCATATCCGCCACCACCGGATTACTGTATTGTTTCAGGGCAATGCACACTGCCACACTGCCAGAATTCAGAACTTGGTTCGAAAGCTGCAACGACCACCAAGCGGCGACAACATCTTCATTAGCAGTAGGTATGTACATATAGATCTTAATTAACATATTCTTAGGGAGTTGCGATTATTGTCTTCTTCGCTTACAGGGACAGCGACGAATTATTAGAAATTTGCTTTTATACACCGTTTTTTTTACTGCAGAAGGTTGGAGGATGATGCGGTGTCGCGGACGTTATTGAATCACCATTGTAAACTAAGACTCCGTAATTCGCTGGGGTGAGACGCCCCATTAGCTTCCTTCCACAATGGAGCTCATGCGTCAGTCAAACTGCAGCGCCCTGCTTCTGTCCATCGTGATCCACTGCCATTTAGTCACGTTCTTAGCATCTGACGAGTGTGTTTTGCAGATAAGACTTTTGAAGCAGATCTTTTTCGGGACATGACAAATAAAATTTCAAAGTTTTCTCTTCTGCATCCCCGTGGGTAAATGAGCACTCGACCTCATTGATTCCTCGCTGAGCATTCAGGTTGCACATTGTTTTTGATGTGTATGAAATAAACCAGGAGAAGCTAAAATCAGTACCCTGCCTTTTCGGAAAACGAGAAGAGTTCGGGTGCAGACCATACACCACAAGTGACGACGGCATCCAAGTAAACCTAGGTTACTAGTGGTTCATAGTGATAGTGATTTTTGGTAAGTGGTAGTTGTATTAGTGACAACTGGCAACTGAACGCACAGCTTAATCATTCATTGGTCAGAGACTATTTACATTTTGGGGAATTATCGTTTTTTGAAAGGGAGTATATAGTGACATGGTGCGCCAGTAGTGAAGTCGGTAGTGTAATTGTGTGGTAAGTAAGGGGTGCAGGTTCCAGTACTGTTGTGGACGAACAGTTTTGCCCATAACTCAGCATTTTTGTGATCGCTTGCGAATGTTCAAAAGGGTCTGTTTCGTTGTGGGGCATGCTGTTTCTGATGCTGTTAAGAAAGAAACAGGTGCTGCATGTCCCTTGGCGGTGTGGGGGTCATTTCAAGGGTGAGCCGGGTAGCCGTGCTATGGGACCGAACCTAGCGGTTGAAGGGATTCTCAGGGACATGTGTCATCCCAACCTCTGAAGAGGCGGAAGTGGTGCAGTGACAAGTGGCGCGCTCACCACGCGAGCGGTCCGGGATCAAATCCTGGGTCGTGAGTCGCCCGGGCCAACCAAGCCTTCCATCCCTCCGGGGTCGGTTAATTGGTACCAGACTTGTCTGGGAGGATAAAAACACTGACTTGACATCGGCTGGCCCCCGCAAGTCATTGTATAGGCCACATCGCATTCAAATGCCACTGCGAATGTACAAATGGAAGTAGAATGCGTGCCGCATCCCAAAAAGGGATTGATCAACGGCAAATGCTTTATCCTTTATCCTTTATGTCCTTATCCCCCCGTTCTCCCCCTTCCTGGCTTAGACTATTCGCCTACCATCGGCCCTGTTTGCTGTCCCCAGGACAATGAGCGCCATGAAACTGTACAAACCTTTAGAATATAAGAAGCTTCAGGTTTTGAGAGCACATAAATAAGTCCGGTAGCGAGTTTTGCTGGTGAAAACGGGTGCATGCTGCTATAGCGTGTTCGCGTATGCTGTCACGAATAAAATTAACATATCAGAAGCTTATTTGCTTTGACATACAGTCAAAAGAACAAAACAACCTAGGCTATCAACAAATCGAGAAAAATACCATAAATGGTAATTTATGGCCTAAAACTGATGGTCTCCTACAAAAGGGAACTGCTTTTTTTTTGAACGCTTAGCAGGTGTAACGGTGTTGACGTGTACTCCTACGTTTAGCCTGTACACTTTGAGGACTTAGCCGGGGGGTGGTATTTACGCATACGGTGAGGTTTTTTCGTTGAGCGAATGCCTGCCCGTCCCCTAGGGATACGACCAGCCCGTTGACAACATTAAGAGCCAATCTTTAAGGCTTAGTAAGAGGATGCAACATGCCCTAAAATCTCCTCTTCTTTCGCCTTGTTGAACAACTCCAACCCTGAATGCGCAGGTAGCTCGTTTTCAAGTCACTGCCTATTTATCTAGAGAGAACAGATATTTTGAAATTTTCATGCTATTCGTGGATGTTGTCGTCAATATCGAATGTCGCAGCAAATATCACTAAAGCCAAAATGCAATTTCATGAGGTCGAAATTGGTTGGATCCATGCGATTCCATGGCAAACAACTGAATTCTTTCGCCAAGACCAAGGTCCACTAAAAAAACAATCGAAGCATAGAACTGAAACGTTTCTGATGTTTTCGATACGACTCGTTTTCGCACCCACTGGAGTCTTCGGGGGTGCTGATAGAGCTCAGGCATGTCGTAAACCAGACGATCCATCAATCGTTTTGTAAATGGAATGTATAAATATGTTATTAGGTTTCCTACTCTCAGATGTAACTTTCCATAGTATCAATATTCTGAGAAAAGAATTTATAATTCAACTGGTGAGCTTGAAACCACACTAACCTTAGGTTAAGATTTTAACGGAAATCCACTATGTTTGTGATAAAAGCTTCGACTCCTCTTTTGACCTTCTAACTCTCTGTACGAATACTGGCATTGGATGAATACGGCGAATATCCGGCCCTCATCGGTTGGATTTTTTAGGCTTCCGTCGGCTTCTCCAGACTGGGAGATAGGCCAATAGCCAATCCCGTCTCAAATAGAAAGGCTGAGTGTATCAAGACCGCTTACCTAATACTGAATAGTAAACTCGCCCCAAATTTTTCGCTGAATTCCATTGATTGGTTGTCTTGGCTATAAGGCAAGATACTAATTTTCTACATCAATTTCTCTTGCAATTTATGGTGTACCGACCATTCACAGTGTCACTAATAGCCTGAATGAAAGAAGACAGCATGGCGTATCCCGATCAGGATTTAACGTTTAGTGCTTTCAGTTATTTCTAGCTGGGAATGCTTGACTGCAGGTGTTCTTTATATAGTCCGTGTTGGTTTTGAGCGAATGGTGGCTGCGCGAGCTCAATAAATGTCTGCATAATGGAAAGGTCATTCGAGCACATGAGAAACTCAGCTAATGAACTTCGCAAATCTAATGTTTCAACTCATCCGAGAAAACCGGTAAGAATCTGTGAGCACTCTGGCCACCACGTACCAATCACCATCGTTGTGTTCAGCAGAATCTGGAACTTGTGAGAAGCCTTTTCTTCGACCCACCCATTTCCCTATTTCCGCTCACACAGACGAGGGGCTCACCAAAGGTATGAAGGTAAGGAATCCGGCTCATATGGAATTTTTTCATTGGTTGTACTCGCTCAAGGGCGGAGTGTGTGGAGTGGATCAATCCCGCTACAACGAAGCCGTCCAGTGCCAACCATAACATAGACCATACGCTTTCAAAATCCCCACTCGACCCGAATGGAGGTAGAATGCGTGGGCAATATCCAAAAAGAATTGAATTAATGTCGAAATTCAGTCCTTACTCTTAATCTATGATAACATTTCTGCCAGCACTCATCCCCGTTGGGCCTTATTTCAACTTCGTAACACACGCGAAAACTTTGTGCTCAAGGAGGGTTATTTTTATAACAAAACCATGACTAACTAAGGATTTGTTTCAGTTATTCGGGTCGAGTGTTCATTGCCGATCAAGAGGAAGTGAACAAAATATGTGAGGATTATCAGAAACTTGAGAACAAGTATGACCTGTTCGAGCGGATGTTCATTCAACTTTTTCTGGTGAGACATTTTACCCGGCCCCATTGAAAGTCAGTTGAAGTACGCCCTCTGATCTAATTCAAGTTGCTTTTCAGGAAGAAGAAATCGAGCTGTCTGTACACTTTCGGTCTCGACAAACTGAAGGAAGAGACCTGCGGAAGGATCAGCGTTTTCGAACTCATGTTGGCAAATTTCAACGATTTTTCACTGGTATTGTCGAGATGCTCTCCAAAGGGCCGGAGCAACTCAGCAACATTGTTCAAGTTCTTAGGTGAGCATTACATAGTCCATCGTTTCGCTGAGGATGGATGATTCATGGCCCAAAAGCCCCTCATCCATCTTAATGGACAGCTTTTGCTTACCCTTTGATCTTTCAGCCTTCATTTTTGTTGGGAGCATTTTCGCCGACTCCACAATCGGTCACACATACTTTGCCCTCATCATTCGTTTTGTGACGTCGACTGGCTGTTTTTGAGATTCATCGTACTCCGCGTGTTGTCCTCGTGGCGCAGATGATTCGTGCAGCGTTCCCAGGGGAACTCTTACTCCTCCAGTTTTCAATAATCAATCCGAGCCATCTCTCCTAAACAAACGTAAAACCAAAACATAATTTTGCTATGAATTTTGGTGGATGCTATTCCGAGGAAATCCTGAGATCTCTCGAGGACAAATCGCAGGGCTTTATATAATAGTTTATTTTGAACGAAAAGTCCTAAGAATAGACTTGAAAGGCAGTGGTTGGACCAGGTCAATTGAAGTGAAAAGAGTGGTTGGCTAAGTCATCGCGATGGTGGTATAGAAAGCCCAAGGAAGCCATAACGTAGGAACTCTCATTTGCTATTTGGGCAAGGAGGCCGTCACACCGTTATGTTACGACAAAAGCAATGGTGGCTTGGATGGAGGTACTCGGAGAAAGTGAAAGAATACTGAAAAGGATAAAAAGGATAAAGCATTTGCCGTTGATCAATCCCTTTTGGGATGCGGCACGCATTCTACTTCCATTTGTACATTCGTAGTGGCGTTTGAATGCGATGTGGCCTATACAATGACTTGCGGGGGCCAGCCGATGTACAAGTCAGTGTTTTTATCCTCCCAGACAAGTCTGGTACCAATTAACCGACCCCGGAGGGATGGAAGGCTTGGTTGGCCCGGGCGACTCACGACCCAGGATTTGATCCCCGGACCGCTCGCGTGTGGAGCGTGCCACTTGCACTACACCACTTGTCCGCCCATAAACTGGAAAGGAAATGCGAACGTAGAAATTAAGTGCAATGCGGCTACTGAGAAAATACAGAAATTAGGTCAACAGAAGGGTTCTGTCAAATGAATTAGTCTTTTGAAATGAAAAGCGAAGGATAATGCTATACATCTTCCTCTACCCTCCCACAATTAGTTTTCTGGTGGTGCGGGACCCTCCTGTAGAGCCAATACGATTGGAATAGAGGTAAGAGCTATGAGATAACTATAAGATTACCCATTTTTGTTTCACGATCCATGGATGTCAATAGAACCCTTCGCGGATCCACGATGAATCACAAGCGGCGCACTTGAATACTTTCCCCGCCCTCCTTCTTGAAGTTGCCCTTTTTGCTTTCATTGCTTGAAAATTCTGCTCTTACGGGGCCCATGAAGAAAGCATTTTCTGTGACTACGCCTACTTAGTGTTCTCCTATCAAAGTGATATTCTACTGATAAAAGGCGGGAAAAATTCAAGACAGGATGAGAAATATGAGAACAAGATCTACTGTGCATCTTAAGAAGCATATGAAAAACAGTCATGATTAGTCATTGTTTAAGTTGTTCTCGGCCATTCAGACCTTTGAAGGCTTTTCCCTGACTCACTTTGCATAAAATGAGTGGCTTACACGTATGGATCCAGTCCCTTTTACAAAGACTGATCCCTCCAACAACTGGTTTGTTTACAGTACATAGAAGAGTTCGAGTCGATCTGGTGACCGCGAACAAGAGACTTTTGGATGCAACTACCAAAACAGTTTTCGTTCCAGTTACTGGTATCTTTTCGGCGAATGCCTTGCTGATTCATACGCCTTCAACCAGAGCTTGCTCATATGTTACAAATTTGTGTCGCTTCCAAGGCTATTAGGTCTCGTCGCCTCAGCTTGCTAAAGAAGTTCTTGAGTAACTGATACAAAATTTCATTGCTATTCCACATCACAATGCATGTCCGAAAGTACCTATTTCAACATGAACGCCTTTGCCCTAATATACAGGGGGGGGGGCAAAAAAAGTCACTTTGCCTATGGCGCACATCATCAAATTTTTCTTCGCACAGAATGCCGCAGCTAATGAATGTTTTACGGCAGAATATTCCTTAGGTGTCCCCCCATAAGCAGAAGCAGCCCCTACTTCAATGCCCTCACGGTCTTCAGAATATGACGTCATCTGCCGTCGCCGTCAAGCTCAACGGGGCTTACCGTAATCGCTCCGGCCTGAAGCTGCAACCTAATTTCTTCAATCGGTTAAGCGGTGAATAGCTTCCCAGAGACACTAGCTGTGACTGTGCAAGACCGCTTTTGACCGGCGTTTCAGGGACGTCGTAATGGTCTATGGTACCTCGACGACCTCGTTGAGCTCGTACCGTGAACCATGTTTCCGTGGGAAAATCTTCTGATGTCGTCAGTGTAGAAGGCTGTCATGTAGCCTTTGATAGACTTGAATGTGCTCTTTAATATGCAATTGGGCTCATTTGATTTGGTTTCGCAGTTCGAGATTAATTGCGTTTTGAATGTGGAGAGAAGTGACTCTTTTTTTTGGCCCCCCCCCCTGTATACACATTTTGTCACG